TAATATTTATTTAACTCAGGCTGTGAAGTGCTACAAGGGTTACACAGGTGTGCTCTGTTTTAAGACTCAGTGATGGGGAAACCCAGACTTTAAAAGGGATAAATTAAAAAGGTAGTGATTTGCATCACAAATTTTCCTTTTCATTTTGTAAAAGGATTCACTATGGGGTTCCTTTATGGGATGAGCTTCCCTAATGCATGCTAATATAATTCCATTTACAAACATTCTATTCGTGATAATTTTTCAAGAATGTATCTATTTTGTACAGTGAGGCTTAGCTATAAATCATTTTTTTTTCCTGGCAGTGTAAGGTTTTCTCCTGAAAAGTCATGGCACTGACCCGGTCAGAGGGGAGTCAGCAAGCCTCTGCTTCTCACTGTCTCCAAGAAGGGCTCTGCCCGACCCATAGAAAGGCTGCAGATTCCAAGGGTCCGCATTTGGTGAAGTTCAATGGCTGGTATCATTTGACATTTTTAGCCAAGCTCCTCTTGGTAGCTGCAGCCAAAGTCCTAAAATGTAAACTCCTCACTCTTCTGTCACTTCATTTCATGCGCAAGATAAATTCATACAAATTACGATTGTTGTTAATATCCTGGTAAAAATGCTACAAGCAATGCAGTTGACCTTTGAACTACACAGGTTTGAACCGTGCGCGTCCCCTTATACATGGATTTTTCTCCATAAATACCCGTACTGTTTTCCATCTGAGGTTGGGAGTCCACCTTAGATGTGGAGGGCCAACTGTATGCTTTGATCTACACCATTTTATACGGGAGACTTGAACATCCTCAGATTTTGGTATCTGCAGAGGGTCCTGGACCCAATCCCCCATGGATACCGTGGCAATTACATTTTGGGGGAGTCAAAAGTTAAACGTGGAGTTTTGACTGTGGGGGGCGGGTTCACACCCTTACCCCCCATGTTGTTCAAGAGTCAACTGTACTTATAAAGAGCAGTGTTTCTCTCGTTTTTTCAAGGCATTATCTTAGCCGAATTACAGCATAAACTGGGGCAAGTCATACAATCTTCAAATTAGAGCTCTCCCCGGAAAAATAGGAAGTGGTGTCACTGATTCAACTGAGGACCCTGCTCCCTCTTTCGATGGGTGCTGAGCCTGAATCTTCAAACAGCTTGGTGATGTTATGCAATTGTTATTTTTTAAAAGATGCATAAAACAGAAACCTTGGTTATTCATAGCCAACTTAGAAGGAGCTGAAATCTTGCAAGAAGTTTCTTGCCTGGTACCATTTTGATGGTAACTACAATGTTTCAGAACTCATCCACTTTCAAATAAGGGATATTTTAAAGACATATGTCATGGCTTTTGTTTCCATCCTCTGTGGTGACTGTATTTTACAAGTTGATAAGCATTCCTGGTATATACTCGTAGCCTGAATATTTTCCAGGTTTTTGGGTGGTACACGAAGCTTGATGGAAATGCCAGGACAAAGACACCTGTGCCTGGGGAAGTGCTGTGTGGTATGGGCCCGTGGTGAAGCAGACCTGTGAACAGAGCTGCTTGCTGATGGATATTCCGTGCAGTCCCTAAGAGGAGAATTGAGACAGATGCAGAGGGAGGGCTGGTGAGAAGCAGAGGTGGTCATGGGGGCAGGAGCCCTGCACGGTTCTGAGGTGGGATTCCTGGACAAACGGCGTTGTCAGCAAGGCTGGGGTGGGTAGGGGGAGGCTGCAGGAAGCTGGTACTGTCACTTCTCATTCACACTCTATGGCAGGTAGCATTTCAGCCATTTCTGAAGCTGATCACTGGCAGGAAAATCATCTGGGAGAGTCTCTGAAGAGATGGCTCTGTCTTCATCTCCCCCTGAGATCAGAAGCACTGTTACTGCAGGATGCAGAAGGTTCCATCGCATTCTTGAATTCTTGAGGCAGCGTTTCTCAATATCTCTCTCTCTCTCTCTCTCTCTCTCTCTCTCTTTTTCTCCCCCTCTCTCTTCCTCCTTCCCTCCCTTCTCTTTTCTATCTTGAAATTGTTATCATGTTTACATTATCATATATATATATATATATATATATATATATATATATACACAGATGCAGTGTGCAGTGGTGATAGGTACAGATC